TCGCATTGGGTTCGTTGAGAAGAGGCAAGTGCGATCGCTGCGACAAGAACTTTATTCGTCTGATGTTTCGGGTTCCGTTGCGGATCCATCATCAGAGACAATCTCACAAACGGGTTATCCGTACACACAGGGAATTTTACTACAGCCGCTATGCTGCTGCATACCCATGACAATTGACGCCCACCTCCTATCGAGGATAGTTGCCCGCTTGTGCTGGACTTTTATTACCCGCGCTGGACTTTGGCGTGACGATTACTCGGTCATCTGGCGCTAGCGTTAGAAGACACGTTCGCCCGTGGCGAATTAGGTTGGCGACACTAATTTGAAATGGATCGACTTCACATCCCCCTCCTCCTATACCATAATTGCAGTACGCGCCAAAATTCGTGCGACATGCCGACACATGCGGAAGGTTGATACTCTCTCGCTAATCGGCATTAAGTAAGGTTGTAATACTGATTATCATGTAGTCTACTCTGAAGTTATTTCAGTCATGGTAGGATGTGAGCTTTTCAACGAGCTTATTTCTGACCGTTTACAAAACGTATATGCTGTAAAAAACGTAACTTCTTAAATAGTATGTGATTTTATCATCGATTTTAGCTGCCTTTATAAATTCAAATATATTTTATGGGGAAGATGCACAAAAAATTATATCTTGTACTCGTTTGGTAGCAAATTAGGCCTTCTTCAAAGTTTATGCTCAAAAAAGTGTACCTTTCGGTTTTAAAAAAAAGTTTCTAAATTGCCGAATAAATTTGAAACATACTGACTGCTACATTCCAATTCAAGGTTTACAAACTACGCACTGTATATGTCCTGTTTGCGGAAAAGTACGTTTTTTTGCTTACGGTTTGAGGAAGAACTCACATAGTTCTCATAAAATGCTGCAATGGGTGTGGAACATGCTTTATACAGAATATGCAGCATTAATAAATTGCCGGATATGATGTATTATGAAGGAAAACTTCACAATCGTAAAAAAGTTCATAGTTAGAATTTTTTTTAAAACCGAAAGCTACCCTTTCTCTAAGTATAAAGTTTAAAGAAGGTGTAATTTTCTACCAAACGCGTACAAGATATAATTTTTTGTGCATGTTTTCCATAAAATATATTTGAATTCATAAATGCAGTAAAAATAAATGATCAAGACGCATACTATTTAAGTAGTTAATAGTTTCAGTACATACGTTTTGCTAGTGGTCATACCGAAGCTCATTAAAAAACCCGCATCCCATCATGACTGAAATAACTTCAGAATAGACTATAGGATAATCAGTATCATAACCTGAGCCATTGCCGCGCTTGTTGAAAGAGTATCAATATTTCGCATGTGTCGGCAAGTTACACGAATTCTGGCGCGTACTGTAAGCCCCGGTTGAGCCGTCGCAACAGGACCAAATTGGGTGTAGTGGATGTCCTCATATGAAGTCACCGTCCCGTCTCCCATACTATTTGCCAAAAAAAACTTTTCAAATATCAACAGATTAATATTCAATTCCATGGAGTAGTTATGAGATTTCACTTGCAGGTATTTTATTTCAGCAGTTATGAATAACTTTAACTGATGTTTCAAGCAATTGAGACCTCATTTAAACTAACCACAGGTGCAAAAAGATCCGATTTTGAAACACTATACAGCAGCCAAAGAACTAACTTAGCATTACAAGCAAAAGCGAATGCCAGAAAGTAAATGAGAAGAAGAAGAAGAAGAAGAAAAAGAAAGAAGAAGAAGGAAATGCGACCGCTGGGACAAGCGTTTTGTTTGCCTGAAGTTTCGAAATGCGTCGCGGATCTGTCATCTAGATAGTAGCAGGAGCGGGTGATTCGCGCATACAAGTTGCAGTAGGATACAGTAGCTATGCAACTGCACACTTTTGACAATTTACGGCTTCCCTGTTTGTGTGCCTGTTTGTGTGCTAGTTGCCTAATGGCCGGTGTACGGGCCGTGACGCGTAGAAGTTTCCTCATGCGTGCTGGAATTGGACGTGATGATTTTTCGGCCACCTGGCTCCCCGGCACTGGCGAGTTGCTTTGGCATATGGGTTTGGCAGTTCGTTGCACTTGTGTATAGACGAGGGCCCGTAAACCATGGCTCAAGCAAAGTAACCTGATTCTACCACACTTGTTATCTCCACTGTCAGTAGCATGGCTTTTGCTGATAATAATTATTAAGAGTCATAAAAATGACATGCTTTTACGATAGTTTGTCGCTAGAAAGAGTTAGAAAAAGGAAGCGGTCAGCAGTGCTATTTAGGTGACCTTACAACATTTTACCGAAATTGCCAATGGAATTGAATATTTGAGTTCCAGGAAGCAGTTCAGGAGAAGAAGAAACGACCACTGCAAGAAGAGTTTTATTGTCTTGATGTTTTGAATTCCGTCGGGAATCCTTAATCATACGTAATCATACCAAATTCTGAGACATGCGCAGGTCCATTGCACGGTATTTATAGTTCGTAGCGGGCATGCGCATGCGTACTATAATTGTCAGTTCCTGTGGCCACCGCTTGAGGTCTTAATTGGTGCGGTGATGGCTCATTAATTGCCGCAATGATCTTGTCCGCGTCGGATGCAGGCTTGGTAATTGCGCGACAATTATGCCCGCTGTCGTCAGCATTGTTGCTGGGCCCGGCCCTTCCCATGTGACTGATTCTCTTGCTCAGGCAATGTCACAGGACCTAGTATGGGAACGGCAAATCGTTGCGCTTGTTGCTGGACGGTGGGTCAGAGAACCATGACTCGAGCAGCTCGCGGCTCACGCAGTTGTCACCTCTTGCGACATGACTCTAGCAGCTCGCGGCTCACGCGGTTGTCCCCTCTTGCGAGGATTTCGGGCAAACTTGAAAATATGGCTGGGTACCGTCGAGTGAGCTGCAACCAGGGAGTTGGCGTCTTTCTTCCTCACCTTATTAAAATTACCCATCCTCCTAGGACAGGTCACACTGTGTTTTGGTTTCTGGTAGTGCCATCTCAGTTGTCTTCCAAAGGGTTTGTAGTCGACAACTCACGACGGAGCGATTGCGGTTTGCTGACTTAGTCTGCTCGAATAATTTAGTAATCTCGCTAAAATTGGATAATTAGGCTATTAGCTGAGATTGTCTCGTTCGACAAACGACGAGAGCCACAACCACAATCCTTCAGTCAGTATGGGAATCTTCCTAGCATGAAGTGCAATTTGCGTAACAGCATCCTTATAATCACAAATTCCCATTTTATTCCTATTCGAACAAGCCTTCCAACCAGTGCCCGATCCCATACAAAGTTAACCGAAATTTTGAAATTCTTTTTCGATCAGGAAAAAAAATGCAAAATGTCGAAATTTATGAAAGATTGCTAATCACTCGCAAATGGGCACCAACGAACGTTCCGAAGATCTTAACTTATAATAAAAAAATTGTAAGCTCATCAAAAATACAAAATTAATGTTAGAATTAATATTATTTTATTTAGCAATAGCCATTTTTTAGAAAAAAAGGCAAATTCAGAAAGCGTGAAACCCTGAGAAAACTAAATTCTTTTCATGTATTGAAAACCTGTCCATGCGAATAACGCGTAAATACGGCTTTTTCAGCCTTATTTTCATTTAAATATCCTTTAGGCATAGGCGTTATGTCAAAGGAGGTTCATTACCAATCAGACTGTAGTTTGCTTATAGATTCCAGCACGATTTTGCGAGAATGCACGGCTTTTTTTCTTCCGTTCCTATGTTATTGTAATTGCGCTTAACTAAAACAGATAGGCTTTTTCTTGATTTCGCCGGTATGGAGGTCACAGAAATGTACTTTTCCATTAGGTCACATCTTGAAAGGTCGGTCTGTGACTAATAAATCTACATGGGATTGTCAGGTGAAATCGCTAGCGTCTCATTTTTTGTATAGTAAACGTAATGTTCTTCCTTCAAATTTGCTTCTATATGTTTCAAGAATGGGTTTAAGAGCGTCCTTGCAATAGTGGTAAATACTTCCTGATTTTCAGTGTTGCCAATCGATTGCTCGTAAATACAAATTCCTTTCCATTTGTTTATCAAATCCTTCAGGATGTGATATTTCTTGCGAGCATTTAC